ACAGGCATGTAGGCTAATTTTGATGCTTTTGACTTTTTTTTTTTTAAAGCAGCAGGGAGAAGCCAGCTCCTTTATGGACTGTGTATCTCGTACCATCTCTGTTCATTTACGTGGACAGAGAATATCTTAACAGCTGCTCCTTGTCTTCTTGAAGGAGAAAGTAGCTGGTTCAGCAGGCTACTTCTGACCTGCTGATAGGTCTATATGGAAGCAAAGCAGTGCTTTTCCTTCCCTCTTACGACCATTCAAATTGCTAGCTTAATACTTGATGCTCCTGAGGTTGTGATAAGGCAGAAAGCTCGGGAATTGAATTTTATCATATAGATAGGATGCAGATTGTAGGGTAGAACACAGGAATAAAGTAGAGTTTCAGAGCCTTGGGTGCTAAAGTAGTCATCTGTCTGTGTTCTCTTCCACAGTCCAAGTGTTAATACTTTATGTAAGTGACATACCTTTTTTTTGATATTGAGACCTTCTAATTCACATGGTGAAAATGGCCTCATTCTATCTGCCTGTCAGTTTAACTATATGCAGTAACACTTGGATAATCACTTCACTTTCCAGCTTTCTGTATTCGTGCATTACATATCCTCAGGACACCATCCCAAGCCCCAGTTTCAGAAGACAAGCTGAGGAAGAGGTGCCTGTGTCCAAATACCATTCATTAGCATGCCAGTTACTTTTCTTGCATGAAGGCTGCTGATCTCAATTCAAGCCTCTCTTCCACCATTAATAAATGATCCCTGAAAACTGCCAACATGGGGAATACCTCCAGTAAAAGAAGGTAGTTTAGTTCTATTTGGACAGATGCATAACAAAATATATAGTTCTATTAAAGTACAATTCATTCAACATATAAGGTTACTTTTTTTCTCCCAAAATCCCAGAGAGAGCAATCAAATTATAGCAGCTAAGAGCCTTAAACTGTCTCACACATCCTCCTTTCTCACCTTCTTTTCTAAAACAGCCATTTCCCAGGAACTCAGTAGAGAAGCCTTTCTTGTTGCAAGTTATCAAGACTCATTACACTCCATTGCATTTTGTTCTTATCTCATTACTTATTCACATAGGTTATAAGGACCTGTACAGACCATGAAATGCAGACTTCTGAGTTCATTTAAACCAAAATAAAGAAGAACAACCTTAATGCAGTTAGCTCTGGAAGCAATTGAGTGTAAATCTGGTATCAGTGGGAGTTGATTCAGGACTAGTGTCTCCAAGAACAGCATCTCAGGACATAATTCAGTGACAGTCTGTCATCTCTAGTACCACATATATATTGGTCACCATATAGTAATTTCTTCTCAGGCTACTACATTGTCATTCTGTGATTCTGTGATTGTAGCTCTTTTATTGAGTGATTTGTGTGGGCAAAGGTAGCATAATGGTGCCTGTACTTAGATGCACTACAACTAAATCATGTAGTATACTTAAATTCATGGTGTGATGGAGCCCAGTTTGAAAATGGGCAGTGAATCCAATAGGAGCTCACTTGGAAGATCTCTGGTTGGTCGGCCTCCCTGTTCTGTGGTTACTGTTTCTTGTCTGGTCACCCTGAAGACCTGCAGGCTGTGAAAAACAGCAGTCAGTATGAAGTACCAGATGGTGAGAAATCCCTTTTGCCTGTCCCAATAAACTGTATTGTATGAGATAAATAAATGCTTCCAGTAATTTCTCCCTGCCATGTTTCAGGTGTTTGCTTTCAGTTGAACCTGTTCTTCTCTTAGCATTGTGGTATTCCAGGTCTCTTTTGTCTAGTTTATGATACCTTATTGTTTATGCTTGTTCAGTTGCTTTTGGTGCATGGGCACAAGTTTCAAGGTACGTTTGGATCTGAGAGATAGAGTGTCTCAGGAGCACAGGCAAGCAAACTACACACTCCAGGCAGCACAGAGAGTTACGAGTTTTATTTAACATACACAAACTCACACATGCACGGACGTTCATTTTAGATAATCCCAGTAAATGGCAAGCAGTAACTCCCTAAGCAAGTGCACTTACCTACTCTTTAGATATGGCGAACCACCAAGGACAGAGGGAACGTGGCAGTGGATGTGATAGGTGCTGCCAGCAGGGCATTCCCTGCTTCATAGTGCACTTTTCCTTTCTCCATCACCTCAGCCTCTCTCCTGCTTTTATTCTCCCCAGGGTCTGCAAGGTTTTTTCCACTTGCATGCTGTACCTGCATGGCCAATGTGCGATACAGAGTTCAAGTGGAACACCTGCTTGCAAAATAAGTCTTTGCAAAAACAAGATAAACTACCAAGGTCAGCTCTATCTACAAAACAAAATATTTGCAGCTATAGCCACAAATATCAGTTCTCTTAAAACTGTCAGAATACTTTGCTCCATCCCAAGATTGTTCTTCAGTCAGGTGCCTTTAGGTCCCTGACACAGCACAGAACACAGCTGATTGAAACAAAATGGCAGCACCCTCTGAAACAACTGGGGATAGTACTCATTGTTTATATCTTCTGTAATACTTCAATTTGTATATAATACTTCTTCCAGATTTTACAATCAGAAATCCAAGCTTGCAAATGATAATTTAGATGAGTTGACCAAGGAACCGTTCTGTATTCAACACTCAGGCTCTTTTGAACTCATATCCAAATTAAGAGAGCATTCACCAATATTACTGCCAATACTAATAGTATCAGCAATAAATTTCTATAATGCTTTCTATAAGAATAACACAGCAGTATTAAAGCTTTCTGTTTATCAATTCAAAATTTTATTAATATGGTTAGGGATTTTGCCTGAAGTACCATAGCTTCTAGTGGTGTTTCTCAACAGTTTTTTTTAAACATTATGCATTAAGTACTGTATTACTTTTTGGCATAAAACAACTAATTCTTAATTACAAACCAGTCTCACATTAGTCCTATTTATGACATACACTGTGTAATAAATGCATTCTGCTCTGCGGAGGCTTACAAAGGTCTTCAAACATGTAAAATAATCACAGGTAGACTCACCTGAAGCTTCCTCCTGATAACTGCAGTATTGTTTTCTTGAGAAACTAGAAACACTGGGGACACACTCAAAATAGACTTCTCACACAAGGCATGCTGTTGTTCTTTACTAAAAATCAACAGCAGTCAGTAAGGCTATAAGCACAGAAAGGTCCATGTGTCAATACTTCCCTTGCCTCTGATTTCTTTAAGGATTCATTTTACCTGTATGTGCCACAGTCCAGCATCATATTTAGTCTTTTCAGTAAGTATGTGTGAGACAACAGTCAAGTTGCAGACAGCTCACTATGCCTGATTTTCCAGCCACATGTTCTTCCATGGCTGAGCTGTGTCAAATGAGGAGATAAGGGCTAGATATCCTTCATATTATTTATTAGTCTGTATATTTCAGTGAGATTAAATGTACACACAAAAATGCGTCAGTACTTATGAAATCTACTACACAACAAAAGAGATATTATTCAGAAGTAACAATAAAAATACTTCCATATCCTCCTTCTAGCAATACACACAATTCTTAAAGAAAAATGATAGCTAGCTATGAGATGGCAGAGCCTTCACCCTCCTAAAGATGTAGGGTTTATTTTCCAAACATAAGAAATGTCCGTCACCTAATAAATTGCTTAAGAGGAAGAAAAAAAGATGGACGAAAGAAAGAAAAGATCAACTATGTTTTAATCATCCTGTTGTTTCACCTTGCAGAAGAAGCCAGGTCATGGCCTGAACCAACAGTTGAACACCAGGTGAGAAAGCACTGCTAACCCAGGGAACGCAGGTGAAGCCATACACCTGAGTGGCTGGGAGAAGCCTGAATCCATTCCTTCTCACCCTCATTTAAACGTTACCAGCCAAGGGAGTAGCATTTTTTTTATAGGTTGCACTCCTCTTGAGCTGTCACTGATTGTTGGAAAGAATTAGCCCATTTTCCTCTGTTACCTGCTTTTGCTCTGTACTGCCTGCATTCCATTAGAAGGCACTGTTATTACCTTCTTTTGCCATACACACCTGTTTAGCTCTAGTTAGTTCATCAGCTTGTGCTCAGAAGTAGAAGACTTAAAGTGATGCAGCAGCTGGTCCATAGAGATTTACAGTTTTAAGTTTTACCCTTGTTTTGTCTGTAATATATACGAATGTGTATGAATGAATTCTCCCTGGTGTAGAGTTCAAAATCAAAGAAAAATCATTTAAAAAAAATGCTGAAAAAAGAAGGCTGTGAAAGGGCTACTGTAAGCTGTCATGCTCCTGCTCAGTCCTAGTGCAACAATGATAACTTAATGTTGTCTATTTCAGGAAAAAAAAAAAAAAAAAAAGAAAAACAATAACAAAAAAACACTAAAACAAGGGATTTTCATTAACAAGATGTTATATTGGAGTTTTAGGTCCCAGGACAGAGCAAAATTATATGCAAGAAATCAAATGAGTCAGTTTTAGGATGAAAGGTTGTTGCTGCCTTTGGCAGAAAGTACCATGGGGAAAGGTATCACTGGCTTGCTTTTCTCTGATCTTTGCCAGCATGCTGCCTGCTGTATCACACTCCTTTGTTGAAGCTGAAGACCTGCCATCATTTTCATGGTCTGTTAAGAGAAATGTCTTGAGATGTGTACTGTGATCTTCGACTCCTTCCACCACCTCTAGCACTATCGTAACTAATCACAGAAGATGGCTATTCCTCATTTGTCTGCAATACTGGCCCCCATTTCCTCCATACTCCTGACCTTTTCTTGGTATTGGTTTAAATTTAAGGTGGTTTAATTAAGGTAACATGCCAGTTACAGGTGTGCACTTGTATCTCAGTATCTCTACAATTCTTTATTCTGTTTTTATCAGTTAGAAAATGCCTACCTCTAAGTCTTCTGTGCTTCATCAATTTGTAGCCAATATCCATCTTATTTGCCTTTTTATTTTACAAGTTTTTGTCTTTCACACTCTAGTTATCTCCATTAAGTTATTTAGTAGAAATAATGATTTTTAAAAAGGCTTTATAAGCATACAAGCATTTCCTTGGCTTAAACGGAATGTATTCTAATATATTTTTCAGTGAAGTGGAGACATCTAGTGACCATTTTGTATTATTTAAATAAAAAGAATAAGGGAGCAAAAACCTCCTCCAAATCCTTGAATTGGCCTTTTAATTGTATGTGCATCTTAACATATTTTCCCCAAATCCATTGACAAAGTAATTTTGCCAGTTCTGTGCACGGGAAAACAGTGACCAAACATCACTGGCTTCTGAGTTTCCAGAGCCTATTTTCTCCTTTTCCCAGGTATCTTACAGGCCTTGGACTCTGCAACAAATAAATCCAGAAGAATGCTAGTAAAGTCAGTCTAGGTTTACATCACTGGCAGCAAGGATGCCTTTTAATGCCTAATTGCCAATACAAATATCTTCCTCATGCTACTTTATTGAAATAAAGAATCTGCCCTGAAATATCTTAACTGCAATGTCAGGCAACACAAATTATCTTCAACTGAACCATCACTTGCCTGATCAGGGAAGGAGGAGATGGCTCCTTTCAACAAAAATGCTGTAATCTTGAGATTCTCTGCTTCCTCATTTAGGTGCCTAAGGGTGTTGACATCTAAGCTGTTTACTTGTACTTACTTTCCAATCAGTAGAGAGAAAGTGCCTCCAGGGGCCTATCATCTATCTTACAAACCAGATGAATGATCCCTGAATGTCCCCAACAGGAGAAAGAGGTGCGAAAGGAGAGGAGTTGGCTTCAAAGTATGTGCACTGCTTATCATCCCAGGTACATAAAACAAAGCAGGCCCATCTAACGGTGCTCATTTCTCTTGTCAGAAACCTCCATTCTGACAAGGATGACTGTCCTAAATCACACATGAATTAGACTATTGTGGCAAGCCAAGCTACTAAAAATGTCCTTTGCAAGTGAGTTTCCCTTCCCCTACAGGCTGCTCAAAGATGGCACAATATCAAATGTAAGCTCACCTGCAAACATCCTACTGAATGAACAAAATCTTAGTGCATGGTACAGGTAAACTGATAGAGTGGTACACACTGGAGAAGCCTGTGGGATACAAGAAGCAGAGTGTAAACAGTTATACCAACTAACAGGCAGGGTGAATACATTCAGATCCCTCCACAGCAGTTATCCTTGAACAGTGTAGACTTGCCTGCGACATCGTGAGGCAGATGGAGGCTTGGTCCAGAGGTGACAAATCTTTCTCTTGCACAGCTGATAAAGACATTGTAAATTTAACTCTGTGTTACCATGGCATAAAGTAGGAAGATACGTGTGCATATATTAAACAGTTTCCTAAAAATTCTTCAAACAAAAAGAAGTTGTATTGTTTCACAGTGCTATTGTGGCCTTTTAGTGAAGGAGTATCTCATCTAGGGATATTCAGTTTCTTCCTTCTTGTCTCTGAAATGGAAATAGTCATTGTTTTTCTAGAATGTACAGGGCAGTTCAGCAAGCCTTTGAGTATGGCTGATGTGTTTACATCCACTCCAAGTCACTGAAGTAAAATAAAAAAAATCAAGACACTTGATGTCTCTTCTTTTTCTTTACGTTGGTTTGGTAGGCAGCATATTAAATTACCATAAAACCAAAAAAACTGAAATTTGTGTGTGGAGGAATATCTCAAAGAAAAAAAAGTTGATATAATAGTATTGGTTTCAAATCCAAATTTAAAAATTAATTTTATTCATTTTAGAATAATGAAGCAAAAAAAAATATACCAATATATGAGATGTTTCAGCAATGTCTTTCTCCCTTCATCATTACTTTCTGGTTTCAATTTTAAACTAGCAAAGTTTAGGAGGAAGTGACTTGACAATCACAAACTGATTTTTCTGTTTAAAAAGGTTTAAGTGTCCAGTTGGTTTGAACAGGACATGAGCGTACTCTGCATGTTGGCAGGTCATGTTCCAGATTAAAATTACGAGTGGGTTGGAGGTCACAAATTATGAGCAAGTTGACAAAAATCATAACTATAGTGTTTTTGTCGAAGATACATCAACAGGAGGAGCTAAAAATAATGATACACAGTGAGAATTTATGTAAGAAAAAAACGAAGCATCTAGTTTCCTTCCATTTTACAGACGGCTAAACCTTTATTTTGACCTGTTGTGGTGTTATAGGTGGGAGGAGGCCAGAAAGGATGTCATGTGGGGTACTACTTCAGTGAGTCCATTTTAATTACAGATCTGAAGACGTTTCTTCAAAATGGCTAGTAAGGTGATTTATGCAGAGTTACAACCTAAGGAGAGTGTACAGTGTACTTCACAGACTGCAAATGCAGGTAACAAATGGCCATCTTGGTATTACTTACTTGCGTGTTTTTTTCTTCAGCAATACGTTCTTAGAACTTTCCTTTTTTCTTTTTTAATTGAAACATCCATAACATGCTGAAATCTTGTTCAAAGCATTTTTAGAAAGATTAATATTTGTCTATTATATATTAATCTACTTGGAAAATTTATGTTTATTAGTAGAATGAATATTGAATTTTATGAAAAGTAAAGATTTACCTCTAAAATCCCATTCTGAATTACGGCAGAATGGCTGTAAAGTGCTGCTTGTGAAATATACAGAAACGCAAGATATTAATACAAATTATTAAAATGTGCATTAAAGTGTGCAGTTACAGTGCTCTGAGGACATTGAGTATATTTCTCCCTCCTGCAGCATAACTATATTTTAAATTTTACTTTGATTACTTTTCTTAAAGACCAGAAATATTTTTTAATTGTAAAACGCCTTCCGTTCTTTTCTTTCATTCTTTCTCTCTTTTTCTCTGCCTGTGTGCCATTCTCTTCTCCTCTTCTGCAAGTTGTATGTTAAGAAAAACACAATCAAGAATCAGTAGATATTTCTGTTGTATGGTCATATGTGTATGACCTATTGATGCCTTCTACCATAAAACTACATTACTTTAAAAATGTATTTTCAATAAAGTGCCAGAGATATTCGCTCATGGATTTCATTAAAGCTTTAAAACTAATGTATCTACTTACCTTTTTTTTTTTTTTTTTCCAATCAAAAGAATAGGTCTTCGTTAGCAGTGAGACAATTAAACATGGAAAAACTATTTGAAATTATATTCAGAGGTGACAGCATTAAAGTCAAAGGCTTCCAGAATGAAAGCAGCTTTTATTCTATAAAAATAAATTCTGTTGATTTTCTTTTTGGTACAGAGAACTCAAAATATCTGTATTAGTGGTCTACCTTCAGCTTTCATATGTTAAGTCAGTTTGTCCATTAGACTGCACGATCACAACCAGTTTGCTGCAGAAGAGCCAAACTGTCAGGATATCTCCCAGTGTAGAATTACTCCGTAAGTATTGGAGATGCACGCACATCCAATATAGTCATCTCTATGAAATGTTTCAAAATTCAGGAGTATAGAAACCTGTTACATTTAAATTATGTTTCACCATCTGACATTTGAAATCCCAGCTATATTTTAATGCTTTCATTATTATTGTAATCCTAGCTGTTTTCTCTAAGTTTTTAATATACCTTGGTAAAATAATCTTAAAAACTGCAATTGTAGGTTATCTTGAGAGCCTTCTAACTCAATAACGTATTGCTGAAAGCTGCCAATATTAGTTTTTTGGACTGGGTGTACCTAAATAAATTAAAAAATAAATAAAACTGGATGTCAAATTATGTGGCCAACTAAAAAACTAAATTTCAGGTAAAAAGTTTTTCTTGCATTTTAGAAAATAGTGCAGATTTTAGCCTTTCCATTTTTTTTAAAAAAACCTTTTCCATTGTAACACTTATATTCTTGTTGCTCCCTTAGTTGTCTAAGCAGTTCTTTACTTTTATAAAATCCTAAAACAATGACTCACACAGGCTGATTAACGTTGCATAAAGAAATGCTTTAAATCAATCTCAAATTTACCACCTATTGTTAGTGCATTCTACTGAAATGAAAACACCTGATCTATTTAACTAATATTTTTCTTTCATGTTCTCGTGTGCATACATACCCATTATGTATTTTTATGGGCTCCATCTTCGATTCATAGATGTGCTCAGTGGCTTTCAATGGTTAGAACAGCACAGTACAGGAAACTGTGGCCCTCATCTTGTGCTAGGTGCTGTGAACTCTTGTCACTCCCCACCTTCTGTGTGAGAAAGATGTTGCATTCAATGTGACAAGATTTAATATTGCTTAGTATCAATATGGTTTAGATTCACATATTTTCATAAGCCTAACACAGACCTCAGGAGCTCTAGCACTCTGAAGATGTTGTTTTTCTTTAGTCAAAAGCTTAGTATTTGCCAAGCTACAGTGAGGTCAGAAGCTTGCCTGACAATGTGCAAAGGAAGCAGCAGCTGCCATCTTAACTCCACACGTTTTACTTTAGATCATTGATATGACCTGAAGAAAGAAAAAAGATGCTCCCTACGAGACAAGAATAATAACTTAGAATGACAAAGAAAAGGGATTTCATACTGAAGGATACCGCTGAGCTGTCTTACCTTACTACTGAACTCTAGGTCTGGCCTACTGCCCTGTGGCCATTGTACCCTGCTTCTCCTCTGCCTTTACCCTCAGCAGCACTGAAGAAGTTCTTGAAGTTCTGCATCTTATGGCAAGAGCTCTTAGTCTCCACTTTCAGCTGTTCAAATTTTCATTTTTTCATTTTCTCCGTGGCACTTCAGAGAAAAAATCGCTTTGATTTCTCTCTTAAGAAAAGAATGTATTTTATTTCATACATTATTGGCAAACTAATTTGATGTACACAGTCTAGGGAAATGGGGCTTAAGATGCATAGTAAACAACTTGCAGTTAATAAAAAAATAAAGTTTCTTCCTCTCTTCCTCCCACTGCCACATCTATAGAAAAATGCAGAGGTCTGTCAGGTATGTCCTTCTTATCCTCTGCTTTCCCTCTCCCTCGTACTCTGACAATCCATGGAGGGATTCAGTAACACAAGATGGAGGAGAAAATGTGCCATAGGGCAGCTCCTCACCTTGTTAGATCTGCGGTCATCTTCCTGTTTATACACGTAACTGTGAGCTTTTCTGAGTTTATGATGCTGCTTAATTGGTCCAATGGGCCTGTGCAGAGTCTAGACAGAGAGATGTCTTCCTTGCATACATCTGTGTATGAATTTTAAAGCACTGTTTACATGATGCAGACAGACCACATGTAGTACATGAAATCAAGTACCTAAACATCTTTGCTTTGAGTGTGATGCCTAACACTTGTTACTGAAACTGCACTGGTACAGTGAAAGAGTTCTCTTCTGTTGTGGAGATGCTAGCTTAAACATTTATGGAAAATAAGTGACACTGCAGGCAAGGCCTCTACAGGTTATGAGAACAATGAAGTTGAGGTTAAACAATCTGAGCAAACAACTCTCTTTCTTCGGAAAATGAACAGCTGATGTTGAAAACCCACTGCCTAGTCCTCTTCCAGCTCAATTTGCACCCCTGATAATACAATAGATGGGAATTCTTCCGAATTTAGGCTGAGTCCAGAGACAGAATGTGTGGGCAGTCTCAAGCCTTACTAGAAACCTGCCCTGAAGATATTTCACTAGTCTCCATTGATCCTAAAAATCTTGAAATTCACATTGAGAATGTTTTTGGGTTTTTTAGTAGTTGTTATCATAGTTATGGCTACCAGAACAATTGAGAGTTCTCTACTGACTGACCACTAGACATGGAACAGGGAGACTTCCAGCAGCGAGCAGTTGGAACACTGTCCTCTGTTATATCACTTATGAAAACCTAATGTCAGACAGTGCCATACAAAATACTGGAGGATCTATGCATAACATGAGGAAATGCTACTGCTCATGAAAGTATTCTTCTCAGTAACAGAAAAGCCACAGTTGTGCATTAATGTTGTCTGTATCAAGGCAATTGTTTCATTGCAGCCAATATCTGTAAGCAGTCTGCTGATGCCAGGTAGCTTTCAGAAGGAATGGGCACATGCTCTGTCGCAAGAGTAGAAGGCCTCTTCCTGAGATATGGAAAAGATAGTTTGATCAAGTGAAAGAAGCAGATTTTTACAAAATAAATCCTAAAGACAGATTTCTTAGAACAGAGGTGACCTGGGAAGTTCTTTGTCCTGATTAACAGCTGACAGATTGGAAAGAAACATTGGGAAGAAGAATGACAAGTAACACTTGGAAGAAACAGAGGAGCTGTAGCTGGAGGAAAATAAGTTTTTCTTTGTGATTTGTAAGCCTCAATACAACAAATAGTATAAATGCCCACAATGAGAGAAAGACTTGCTCTATTACCTCGGTGTGAGAAATGGGGAGTTCTAAGCCTATAGTCCCAACTCAATGGAGATGACCACTTGCACTGAGTGAGTGAGTGAGTGAGTAGTCATTTCAGTTTTGCCAACAAAAAGGATACTCATCAAGGAAAGCAAATGCCAAGGGCATTGATGTAAGAAATGAGAGTAACTTCCCTGCTATCAAGTAAGATAATTAATAAATTAATCATAAATTAATAAAGCAATAAAGATTCAGATAAGTCTATTGTTAATTCTTCTGTCCTCGAGTTTCTGTCTCCTGTAATTAAGAACAGGAAAAAACAAACAAACAAAAAACGACAACAACAACAAAAAACAGCCTTGCTTTTGGACTATTCCGGATGAGAATTAACTGCAGTTAGGCTTCCCTTAAGGTTTTTTTGGTAGAAGGTTGTACTTAAAACCTTTGCTCTTTTTGCAGTGATGCCTACCAGCAATTAATTAAAACCTTATTTTAAATACTTGGAAGGATGAACTTAAGGAAGAATAGCCTGTGGATGAAATGAAAACAGTATGCTTACAGTTTACATACTATTTGACTTGATTTTACATGATATACTGTTGGAAGTTATATTTAAGTCATAAGGGAAAATAGCTTGCCTCTCTGCACATGCAGTATAGCATAGCTTTGTTCAAATAGGAACTGTGCTCCTCTGTGTGAAAGAAACAGTGGAAAACAGGCATGGTTTATACCTATAACAAAGATCTGTATTCGCTAGGAAGAAAAAGTTTATTGAGAAATACATAGGAAAAAAAATAGCTTCCCACATGTTGCCATCAATTAACTTTGCTTAAATGCCAACAGAAAACACATATGTGTGGATAAGATACGGAATAATAAGAGTATTAACTTCTTTAAATTTTCCTAAAATTTAATAACTAACTTCTATTGTACTTATTTGGAACAATAAGTTGGAATAAATTTGGAATAATGGGACAGTTATTTGCAAAAGCTCTGCTAGTACTTCCTTTTTGACAAATTCATTCAGTGACACGCAAAGTTTACCAGAAAAAAAAATAAAAACAACTTATTGTCTGTGTTCTTGCTCTTATAATTTTCTCCAAGAAAGACTGATGCTGGAAGGTGGGGGGTGCTGGATCAAATGAGAACCACAACAGCTGATCTCAGGCAGTTCCTCTTAATGGGGTACTTTTTGTTTTTGCAGGTGATCAAGTAACCTACGCTGAGGTGAAAAGGAGGTGGAAATCTGACACACAGGACAGTATACCGAAGACTTCGTATCAAAGTACTGTAACACAGCAGGAAGTTTGAAACTTTTTCATTATATGTTATCTGCTTTGTTTATCATTGTAATTACATATTTGCATGTAATGGAAGAGTTGCTTGGTGTTAGATATCCAGGGAGATGTAGGTATGGTTTAGGCAAATTTAAAGTTTGGGGACATTGTGCCTGGGAGCAAGTGGTGACCTTAGGGCACATTGCTGTAGGCAGTGTTGTGTCTGTGCTGTCCACTGCATGCAGCCTGGAACACAGCAGCTCAGTAGAGCTTCTGGCCTCTCCCTTCTTCAGTTGTGTTTTGGTTCAGAAATGTCTGAATTTAAACACTAAAAAAGCATGGGTTGCTTGTTTGCTTGTTTGTTTTGTTTGTTTTCTGAGTTTGTTTTTGTTGCTGTTGTTTGTTTGGTGGTGATTGAGTTGGACTGGTTTTGTTGGGTTGGTTTGCTTGTACAGCATAGCACAGAAAACACTGTGACATGCTGCCAGGAACTGGATGAGATTCTCACATAAACAGTGCTAATATCCTTAGAGTGTCATGGTATAGCTCAGTTCTGGGGAAAAGGAGTTGTCACTCTCCATGTCTGTACCATTAAAAAGGAAAGGTTCTGTGAAATATAACTAGGATTCCTCCTAGAAGGAACCAGTTAGATCACCCCAGAAGCAAATGAATGTGCACCATGCAGGCACTGAGTCCTGCTGGAGGGCCAGGACCTGAAGCGGAACAAGTGGCAGACAAACTGCTATCTCATGCCTTTAGCGAATAGATCTGCACCAAACACAGCAACTCCACACTCATTCAGCCCACAACTACCCCATTTGTATGGAGTACAGGACGGTATCACTCTCCATCTTTTCTGCAGATAATTCTGATCTGTTTTTCTCTGTTCACTGCTGCTGAGAGGATGCTTAGAACATATGGTTAAAGTTTTGCAATAGACACAATAGAAAACTTTTTATTCTTTTTAGGAATGATTTCCATGTATTGTTTTTCATTTCCAGGTGCGTTTAGAAACAATAAACAGATTGGCAACATCATTTAAAGCACAGAAATTGAATTATTTTTAGAAAGTGATAGATAATTAGGACTTAATAACTTCTATCTGATCTTTTCTGAAGTGCGAATGTTAAGATACATTACATTAGGACTGGGACCTGTCCTTAAAGTAAATTTTGTTTTTCAAAGTAAAATAATATTGGATATGAGTTTTAATTTGCATGTATGAGATCAACACGAGTAAAAGATGGAAAGAAAATATTTGCACTCATGCAATGCAGAAGAACAACAAACTATTTTTAGAAAAAAAAAAGTTAGCTGCGGAAAGTGCTAAGTGAGAAGAAATGTTCCCACAGATGTGCTGGGTTAATCTGGCCTTGCTAGAGGGGAAAAGAAACTGAAAGTTTCAGACAATGTTTCTTATTAAAAGTGGTGGTCAGTGAGAAAGGAAAGTGGATTAAATGCATATCTCATTTGTTATAAAGGTAAAACCAGTCCTGCTGTTATAAAGGTAAAACCGGTTTACTGGCTTCTTTTAAATTCACTCTTATTTTGTGTTGCTGAATTTGGGATTGTACGGCAGAATCAAAAGTATTGTAAGTGATGTAATGTATTGTTTTGACATTTCATCATCTTCTGTTTGTTGAACGCCTTTTTGTACTTCAGTCCTCACCTCCTTCCCTTCTCTGATTTTGCCTATGGTATCCATATTTCCAGGTTTGCAGAATTTTAGAATCAGAAAATCAGTATAGAATCACAGAATAATATGAGGTGGAAGATGCCCTTAAGTATCACAAGGTCAAACTCTTGGCTTCATGCAGGACCATCCAAAAATCAGACCGTATGTCTGAGAGTGTTGTCCAGAATCTCTTGAACTCTGGCAAGCTCTGTGCCATGACCACTTTCTTGGGGAGGCTGCTCCTGACCTCCCTCTTGGTGAAGAACACTTATCTGTATCGACCTGAATCACTCCTGTCTCAGCTTCATGGCATTCCTTCAGGTTCTCTCACTGGTCACCAGAGAGAGATCAGTGCTACCCCTCTGCTCCCTATTGTGAGGAAGCTGTAGGCCATGATGAGGTCTACTCTCAGTCTCCTCCAGGCTGAACAAACCAAGGAACCTCAGCCACTCCTCATATTCTTCCCCTCTATATCCTTTACCATCTCTTTGGACACTTTCCTTTGGACAGATCCTTTGGATGCTTTCTAATAGCTTTATGTCCTTCTTGTACTGTGGCACTCAAAACAGCACACAGTACTCCAGGTGAGGCTGTAAAAGTGCAGTGTAGAGTGGGACAATCACTTCCTTTGACCAGCTAGCAATTCCATGCTTGATGCACCCCAGGATATGATTGGCTTTCCTGGCTGCCTGGGCATACTGTTGGTTCATATTCAACTCACTGCTGACCAAGACTCCCAGAACACTTCCAGCAGGGTTTCTCTGCAGAATCTCATCCCTAAGTTTATATGCGTAACCAGGATTGCCCTTTCTCAGGTGCAGAACCTGGCACTTGCTCTTGTTAAACTAACTTCATGCAGTTAGTGATTGCCCAGCCCTCTAATTTGTCTAAATCTCTCTGCAAGGCATCTCCACCCTCAACAGAGTCAGCAACTCCTAACACTCCAATATTAAATCGGTATTGTCAGCAAAAATACTCAGAGCATCCTTCAGGCCTATATCCCAGTCATTTATGAAAATATTAAAAGAGAACTGAACTGTTTCTAAAATAGAGCCCTAGGGAACTCCACAACTGACTGTTTGCCAGCCTGATGTAACTCCATTTACTATAACTCTTCTTATCTGACCTGTCAACTGGTTGCTCACCTATTGCATTGTGTTTCTGTCTAACTGTATGCTAGACAAAAGTATACTGTCCAGAAGGATATTGTGAGAAGCAGTATCAAAAGAGTTATTGAAAACCAAAAACATAACATCAGCTAGCTTCCCTTGGTCAATTAGATGGAAGACCTTGCCAAAAAGGAAAGTAAATTAAACAGGACCTTCCTCTCATGAATCCGTGTTGGCTGTAACCAGTAACTGCACTGTCCTTCAGGTGTTTTTCAACAACTCTCAGTGTAATTTTCTCCGTAATTTTACCAGGCACTGAAAGTGATACTGACAGGCTTCCAACTACCAAAGCCTTCTTTCTTGGCCTTTTTGAAAATTGGCCAGATTTCAACAATATTTGCCAGCTTTCAGGCAACTGGAACCTCTCCAGATTCCCAAGACTGTTGAAAAATAATTGAGGGAGTTTTCATAATTACATCAGTCATCTGTCTGAGTACCCTGGGATGAAACCCTTTGGGTCCCATGGACTTATATGCATCCAGGTGGGGCAGCAAATCCCACGCTAGTTCGAGGTTGGCTGGGAGTTGATCATTACCACAGTCACGATCCTCCAACTCAGGGCACCTGAGGTGCCAGAGCCCATCATCAGTGTTGAAGACAGAGGCAAATAAGGCATTAAACATCTCTGCTTCGTCTATGTCCCTGAGTGTAAGGTGACCATTCTCATCAAGTAATGAACAGATGTTTTCTCTGGTCCTCCTTATGTTGTTAACATATTTTAAAAAACCTTTATATTGTATCCACCACAGTATTGGCCATCTTTAACTCATGTTCTTCACTGAAACATCTTTAAAGGTCACAGAAATTAGATGTCCGTTCTAATTCTTGTTTATATTTTATTATTTTTTTTTATCATACAGATCAGTATGAAAAGTGTGAAGGAATAAGGATCAGAGGAACACAAGCACAGAGATCCTGGGCAGTATTACAGTGCCAAAAGCAGAAAATGATGAAGGCAGGGATTTAACAACTAATTAAACACATATTTCTTTGTTGTGTTTAAAAAGAGTGTTAAAAGTCCATCTGGGAAAAGCAGTCTGTAGAATTCTGAATTACCCATGAAAACTTCTTTAAAAAGCCTGAAGGAGAACATCATAATTTTCTTCTGAGTGTTCAGCTATGTAAATTCAGAATAATAATCCATGTTAGCACCACTGTTATGAGCCATTTTCCAAAGGACACTCAGGGACAGAACAGCTAGGTATACTGCTGAGTAAAATGCTCTAGCAGAGCTGTGCGGCCACAGCTGGTGAACTGCACAGTAAGGTGAGAGTGCTGGCAAAGCTGTGCACAGCTTCAGAAAATGAGAGGTCATGTTTTTAGGCATCTTCTCAACATCTAGCATGATAAAAAGAACTAGCCAGGCTCTTCTGATCCTGAAAATGTGAATTCATACATAAGTGTACATAAATAAGGGTTTTATTTTCACCTACTAACTAAAATTATAAGTATAATATAACTAAGAATAATAAAAACATTTTCCAAAGGAATATTAATTTTCTACAAATACATTTCACCGAGAAATAACAAAAAGCAAACCCAACCTTTTCAATTGTATCTACGGCACATTGAAGATATCCTCATAAACTTCACTTTCTACAGACACTAGATGTGTAGCTCACAGTAACAAGGCTGCTTCTCTCCTACAAGACTCTTTCCCCCAACCCTCTCTCTCCTTACCATGAATAATATGGAAAAAAAAACTTCAGTTGCTTCTACCTGTTGTGAGACCTTTCTTCCTTTTCTCTTCACTAGCAGCCTGCTCCGAGAACGCACAGTGGTGTTACACTGCCATCATTCTGTACTTCTTTGCAGTGATTCTATTCATCACTGTGATCCTCTTAGCAGTGAATTGTTGAGACAGAAGATGTGGTTCTGCTGAAAAATGGGGTAAGACATTTATATCCATATTTGTGTTTTCATTTAATACTTTCACACTATCAGAAGAAGTACAAGGAAGCATCCTACCTGTATGATAAAGTTTCTGTGAAAAATCCAGTCAGCCAGCAATTCAGTGTCACACTGGATAATATCTAGCTCCCCGCTGATGATTCATGGTGCACTTAACTGAGCACAAGTTAGCCAAGAGCTTTGACAGAACTGCCTTTCAGAACAGGTCTTCAATTTTGCCTCATTATTTAACATAGGCGCCTCTCAGTCATGTATGGAAATAACTCCACCATCCTGCTGTGAAACAAAGCTAATAAGTTGCTGGTGTAGATGGTGGGGATAGCTCCAATGGCTGCTCAGGCCAGGATGAACAGGGATCAGCTGAAGTGTCATGAGACAGACAAGCTGTGTTGATCAGTCTGACATTTGAAGGAGACCTAAAGAACAAGATTTTCAGACAAAACCTTCCCATCCACATCCAGTGCTACCAGGCTCCTCCAAGAGCAGCACTGGAAAAGCAATATCACCTTCGTGCTAACGTAGTTGATATGGCACGTGTGGAGAAAAAAGAGCAAACATAAGCATCCATGCCTATATCATGTTAAAGCTTTTTGGGAATCTTTTGGTAAATCACTTGGGAAAAGAACATGTTGCATGGAAAGCAGACCTAGAATTAAGACACACTCCTTGTAGAGCCTCTGGATCGCTCTCCCTGGCAGCTGTCATATCTGTGCTGAAGACACCATTTCAGATCCTTTGCCAGATGCAGTGTCCCTGCCACTGAGCAGAATTCTCCTCACTGCAGCTAAATCACAACTTGAGGGGCAGTGGCTCACCAATCATGATTGCTCTACCAGACCTCCACTTCAAGGCATGGCACATTTACCCGTGGTCCCCATGATGCACAAGTGCCCTTCCTTTACTCAAGAGGATCCTTCAGTAAGATGAATATTATTAGCTATGTTTGTTTTTGTTTTGTTTTTGTTTTTCCAGGAAAGTCAGATCAGAAAGGCTCTGCTTCTTCAATAAAACAAGACAAAATGTTTACTATTATGTTATTTCCTCTGCATAGAAGAAGACATGCTGACAGCCTGGCCACTCTTCAGTTACTTCTTTCAGGATTTTCACGACACCTTTAGCCTCTCTGTACATGGGAAAAAATATATTATTGATGTAATAATAGCAGCAACTATCACATGGTATCAGTGCGTGTAACAAGGTACTAACTCAAGCTACTGCATCATAAATTGGATCTTAATCTTAATAAACACAAATGACAAGGACGACCCATTTGAAACATCACTTCTACTTCAACGACTTGATTTTACAGTAATCTGCTATGTAGATAAGCTTTTAGATTTTGATATGATCAAGTGCAAAAATGAATGTTTAAAATAGAGGATATGAATGGTTGCACTAAAAATTTTTTATGAGATCCACACCTGTATGTGATTTTTATTGTTCTGATGGCTTTTGGTGGGATTTATAGGAGTGGGATATTGAAGATGAAGGAAGTCCATTAGTTCATCAGAAAAGTCTCAGTCTCATTCCCCCGTGGGCATGAATAAAATTATTCTGTTCTGCTTGTCCAGTGGAGTGTCTCACAGAGTCACAGTATGTTGGTTCTGTCTTGGAGCAGTAATTCATCTTTTGTTTCCATTTTTTTTTCTACAATGCAGTAGCTTCAGTTAAGTCAGAGTCCTTCACTAGAATAAACCAGCTCAGATTCAAACAAATTTGTTTATAATCATTATTTCATTTTTCATTATTTTGAATCCTCATCCATTATAATTTCTCTGAGACATGCTGATATCCATGATTTGCAGTTCCTGAGTAGAAGGGACCATACAGTATAGCAAATTTTTGTTGAATTGCTCCCTATGCCTAAGCTTTTCTGTACTTAGGCCATGCTGTTGCTGTTGATAAGTCTCTATGTTTTTATAATATATTTGCAAGAAATCAGTAAATAAATTTAGTAAAGCATTTGACATACTCGTGTTTGTTCTTGCAGTAGTCAGACATATAGCAAATGTATGACTGCAGTGCTTCTGAGCTGTTGTCATGAAGCAAGGTGCTGATCTGATAAGGACTGTCTAAAGACAGAATCCCTGCCTCACAGTGCAAAGCATCAAAAGACCGGTAGAAGAAAATGATTACATTTTTCTTGAGATTATTCTTTCACTTGCCTGGTGCTGTGGGATAAATCCAGATCCAGAAAAATGTAAAAAAAAAGATAAAAAAAGAAATGGTGGCAGGAGACTTTGGACATGAAATGGACCCACATATTGTTGTTCTTCACTGCACTTACCTGACTTTAGCTGGAAGTTTCTCTCACATAATACTCCCAGATAGCCCCTACAGCTAAATCAAATTTCCAGACTAAATTAATTAGTTCCAGCTTTCTTAAGATGCAAGAAAATTTCTGCAATCTTCAAGAGCTACAGTAATGTAGTTTTGCATATATATATATGACATGTGCAATCGTAGCAGATAAAAAAGGAAACAGAGGCAGAAATCATAGTTCCTGGCATTCAAGCCCTTCCAAAGACAAAGTCATCATTTCAGAATGAAGCAGCGTCACAGGAGACTGAATGCACAGATGCTAAGTATACAAGCAAGAATAGGGATATGCATTTCAGGACCAATCTGAAACCATCACTTATTTTAAGCCCAACAGGATGTTGCGCAGACAACCAGGTCTCTAGTTGCAACAAGCAAATCTTTGGCAATTTCAGTGGCAGATCCTAGCATCTGAGAAATGCACTGCATAGACACCTGAGTAAGAAGCATGCACATGATGCTCTGTATGTTGCTCTGCAACTCTGAAGGAGGTCAAGTAGTTTGTTTAAAGTGAGGAGTAACAAACTTCTAAAAATTGAAGTGACTGTTTTTGCTGGTTACTGAGAAATCAGCACGCTGACTTGTGGTTTTGACAGTGAGCCCACTAGACCATTTAAGGCAAATTTAACAAACTTTGGTCTGATCCTACTCTCAACCACACGGTTCTTAGACACAGTTTGAGGGGGAAATAGCCTATCATGGAATCGGTAGAATAAGGCTGCCTGGTCATTGGTTATATACACATTACATATGTTATATATAACACATGACTGTAAACCTGACATGAGAGAGCTGCCTCTTTCCTTTGTTCTTCATCCCTTTAGCTTTCCCTGGAGATTGTTTGATTCCTTCTCCTTCTCTGCATTTTCTTTCCCTTTTACTTCGGGAATATCCTATAGCCTTAAGCGATGCTCATTCATGCTCAGGATAAGGGGAAATGGTTTTAAGTTGAGGGAAGGGAGATTTAGGTCGGACATCAGGGGGAAATTCTTTACACAGAGAGTGGTGAGGTACTGGAACAGGCTGCCCAGAGAGGTTGTGGATGCCCCGTCTTTGGAGGTGTTCAAGGATAGGTTGGATGGGGCCCTGGGCAGCCTGGTTTAGCATTAAGCGTGGAGGTTGGTGGCCCTGCATGTGGCAGGGGGGTTGGAGATTCATGATCCTTGAGGTCCCTTCCAACCCTGGCCATTCTGTGATTCTGTGATCCTGTGATTCTATGATTTTTCTGGCTTTTCAGTCATTCTCTTAGCCCTTGCTGTTAACCATCATCCCTTTTGTTCATGGACACTGTGATGTGTACATGAAGACTGAAGAAGATAATTAAAAGAATGCAAATACATCATTACAAGGATGCCCTTTATAAAATAGCACCAAACAAATATTTTAGGACCTTCATCAAAGGAAATATAAAAACATCAGAAGACTCCTAACATAGGACTAACATACTCCTAACATAGGACTAGCTTCAAATATTTTTATTCGGAAATTCATCACTCTCTTTTTAAAAACTGCAGGATGGGAATAGAAGGGACAGTAGCTGTTCAGTAGAGTGAGGTGCTACTCTTCATCTTTTCAACCCTGCACCTCTTCTTCCCTAGATAACCAAAATCTAAGCTAGTAGAATAGTCAGCATTCAGGCCTTGCTAGCATTAGTCTTTATTGCATCAATTTCTGAGAAAAACTGTAATGGTACTTCTCCAGAAAGCAACAGAATGCATTTGAGATGGAAAAATTTTGTTAGAAAAAGCCCTCTTTCCTACATTGGCCAATGTAGGAAATCATCCCAGAGCAGTCATCCCTGCAGGCAAGAAAATTTCAAGGAGGGGACAATCTTATCACAGTTGTGCCTTGCTTTAATGCATACAGAAAATAGGAGATAGGAGTGTATCCTTCCCTTGGCAGTGAGAGAGTCATGGTGTATCCTTGTAGGTCTTTCAGTATAAGTGCTTGGGAGACCAAGGATCTGGTCCTTTCTAAACCATGAACTTCTATGAGCAGTAATGGTTTTTTCAACCTTCTCATAGAGTGGTTTGCCTGCAACTGAGTATTTGGTGTGCATGTTCTGGAGATGCAAGTGCATAGCACACTGAGGAGTCACCCCCTTTTCCATAACACAGACACAGACATGGATGTTTACTGCATGATGGCAAGAGTCACCTCAGCCATGGAGAAGAGATTGGTGACGATGAAACCCAGATTGGCTTTGGTCTCCCGCTGGCATTTGAGCTGCAGCAGCCAGCTGCGTATCACATACTTCAGTGAGAAGTCTGAGCTTCAAGTATCAACATAAATATTCCTGGCATTTCATAGGCAAAACTGTCGTACTTATCTAGCCTCAATGTCTTGTCATCTCCTCCATGAAGTATGACAGCCTGTACTCACAAAAACTGGCCCAAACATAAACAGGAGTGGAATAAACTCTTTCAAAGGGCAAGACACAAGCAGTGTGAGGGGATTACCTCTCCCAGATGGCTCAACACAGGTATTTCTCTTACATCTGCAATTAAATATATCTCAGATTTAATACCTGACAATGTCAGAGACTCCATCACTTCTCAGACTTGAAAAGGTAAAACTCATGTAGCTCTTCCTAAATGACAAAATATACTGTGGCCCACTGTCTTTGAGATGAATCAGCTAACAACTTATCCGCATAGCTGGACACTCCATATAAGCAGTCTTTCTGTGATGTGACAGACTTGAGTCATTTTGAATTTTCATTTACTGTTACAGGAAGGTTCATTAAGGAGGAGGACATTCTTGAAGAACCAGGCAGAACTCATTCTCTCTAGGCCCTGTCTGTTACAGGAGCTTCATTCAAGATAGCAGTAATGCTAGAAAAGGAGACAATACTACTTACTGGTTTTGTTTATAACTTCTCCAATAAAACACAAGGTAGCCTAAGTTAGTTCTGCTGTGTTTCTTGACAGTTCTGGTGAATTTAAGTCACCTTCAGCCTGTGTTGAACTGAAAACTAGTTCTGAACCCTGAAGTCTACAACAGACTTGGGTCCTGAGCTCAGATGAAATCTTCGGAGCTGTTTAAGCTCATTTTTATAGTTCTGGTCCACTTTTTCTTGTTTTTGACAAGTAAACTAGTCTAATATCTGGGGGTGCAAGTCCGAGAGTCCTCTTTTGTGTAACACACTGTAGGGAACCTGCTTTAGCAGGGAGTTGGAATAGGTAATCTCCCCTCCAACACCTACAATTCCGTGATTCTGTAGAAACCACAGACTTTAAAAACTGGCCTTGACCTTTTACATAATTTTCCTCTCAAATTCATTTCCTTACGTATGGTCAATATAATAAAATAATTTCTAAGCTGATTTCAATATGTACGTTAATTATTAACTCTCAGTTATTTTCTTATAAGAGTGGCCAAACTGCTCCACAGCCTTTTAACTAGATGCCATTTAACTTAAGAACCAAATGCTGACTTCTTGAGGGTCAGGCCTCATGCTCATTCAATTGCTCTGGAATAGAAAATCAGATGATAATCAGCAGCAAATAACAAAACACAGGTCCAAAAGCCAAAGTAGTGAAACAGTGCAAAACTTGACATAATAAGAGATGAAGCTGAGACAGAACTGCAGACATGTAAGCCCTGGATAATTTATACTTCTCAGCCCTGAAGTGCAGCACATCTGGCTGCACGTTCTCTCCATTTTTAGCAATTGCATGTGTCTTAGTAACAGTACAGAAATGCACAGAGAAACATAAGTTTTGTCCTGAGATTCTAGGGCACTTCATAGACCACTTGTCGGAGAGTGGAGTACACACAGAACTCTCCATTTTCTCTTGCTTCTTATTTTAAATCTCAGTTGCAACTTTGGTTCAGATAATCAATCAGCTCCAAGAAAAAAGCATTGTTACAATCATTTAAAAGGTTTTATGGTTAAGAAGAGATGAATAAAAAGCAAATGCAACATATGTACCGCAACACAGTGAATTGACACTTCCTCATTCTGCTCAGAAATGTGACTGATGCTTTCTAAACTAATTTGCCTTGTGGCAAAAGCAGGCCTGTGAACACAGGTCATTCTGTATCCATACTGTGAAGAAGAAAGGCATGGAATAGTGCAAGTCCATATATGTTACACTGCCAGATGTAGAATAAGGCAATCCCCAAGACTAATGCAGGTTTTGCAGAGAAGCCAGTTAGTGGCATGTCTGTTTTACAGATCTTGCTACTTAAGATACTCTCTTTTTTCAGACTTACCCCAGCTCTTTACACTTCAGGATAATCATACAGCCTATAAACCCAAAAATCAAGCCACAGGCAAAAGCCTGAAACTGGACATTTAGCAAGTGGAAGGCATAAGTGTGGGAATATTTGAAGGGTGGATAATGTGAAGCAATCGAGAAGGTGTGAGAACCGCAGAGCATGGTCACTAGGCCACTGGTAAATAAGCACTGCAAGAAGGTTGTAGTTGACAAGAAAGAGAGCAAAATGCAGTCACCCAAAAGTGAGCACTGAGGCAGACTGCTGGGGATTAATAAACATGCATTTCCACCACTGTTTAATTCTCCATTCATAATCTCACCTCTGTTCTTTCTCAAGAAGATTCCATTCTTTTTTTCACTGCTTTCTCTCTGGAGCTCATTAACAAAACAGAAA